TAATATACATGATATGTGTACATATTGTTATATATAAGCCTAATGTAGGTTATTTTATGTGGATTCTTAAACATGTTTGGATAGGTGCAAAACAATAGTATGTAAAAGTTCACAGTTGACTAATTGTTTTACATGATTGCTTTTTGTCTTCACAACAATCCTGGAGGTTGGAAAAGGAAGTGGTTTTAGGCCCCTTTTCCAGAAGCAAAACTGAGGCTGAGAGAGGTCAAATGATCTACTTGGGTCCTTCCTCTGTTAAATGGAGCCAAAGACTCCTAGGTTGTCCTGAAGTTTCTATGTAATGTTAAACTTCTAAGAACTTAGATTAGTGGTGTATTGATAGAATCTGTATAAGACATTTAGAAATTATAGCAGCATTATTATTTATCCAATAAATATTTATTGTATCCAGTGTATTCTTATTTCAAATCTCACAAGAACACAAAAGCCCAAAGATTTCCATAGTTGTGAGAATTGGTCAGGGTCTGCTCCTAATGGTGGGTTCTGTCTTTCCGTTTGTTCAGTGTATGAGCTCCCATGGTCTTCTTTTTTCCCAGGACACTGTTCTTAGAAATTATACACTCATTGGCTCAGTAGATGTTTCCTCTACAATATTGCCAATTTCTTGAATTATAGCAAGTCAGCCTCTCAGGGCAATATTCTGCATGAGAGAGAGGGAGGGCTTAGGCCCTTCTGTTACACCTCAGATAACTTTGTTGAGAATTCCTAGGATTTCTGTTGTTGATTGGAAGAAATGTCAACTGTGAGAAAAAATGCAGGTGGCGTTTTACAGTGTTTCTACCAACCCAGACTGTTTAAGATTGAGTTAAAAAGCTACACCGAGTCACTCATTGCTCCTGATAAGCAAAGCCAAGCCAGATTTTTAGAATTCTTGTAGACATCATCCCTTCTCAAGTGACTGGGTCTTGCAAATGGAAAGAGCTTTAACCTTCAGACCAATATCTATGCTATGTGCTTAAAAAAATCTATTTGAATTATTTGCTTTGGTCTGTATTCCATTCTCCACCTTTGACAATATCTCTGGGGTATTGGGGCCAAGAACAGTAAGAAAAATGGGGGAAAAATACGCAGATTTTATCCTGAAACATATAAATCAGAACAGAGAACCAGGGACTTCCCTGATGCCGCAGTGGTTAGGAATCTGCCTGCCCTGCCAGTGCAGGGGACACGGGTTCAAGCCCTGGTCTGGGAAGATCCCGCATGCCACAGAGCAACTAAGCCTGTGTACCACAACTATTGAGCCCACGTGCTGCAACTACTGAAGCCCATGTGCTTAGAGCCCGTGCTCCGCAACAAGAGGAGCCACCGCAACGAGAAGCCTGCACACCACAACGAAGAGTAGCCCCTGCTTGCCGCATCTAGAGAAAGCCAGCACGTAGCAACAAAGACCCGACACAGCCAAAAATATAAATAAATAAACAACAGAGAACCACGGAATTTTTAAATGCCACAAAAACTTAGATTAATTTTCCCAACTAAGCAATTCACAAAGACACTAATATTCAGGAGGGTCACCTGGTCTGTCCAAGGCCACAGAGCTTATTAGAGCCTAGACTAGAACCCCTGGCTCTTGGCTGTCATGTCACCATTCTCCACACTTAACACTATTCAGTCTCTTCCTAAAGTTAGAAAATTGGTCAAATGAAAGTACATATGAAGTACTAACATGGAGTGGGAACTCATTCTCACCATGTGCTTAATAATTGTTAGCTCTTTTTTTCTCTTCCTGACCTTCAGGAATCTGAGGTTGAAGTATTCATTGTGTCTGATGCAGTTCCTAATTTTCTATATTTTCTCTCCTTTCTTTTACTTCATACTTAGGGTGCTCGAGGGAAGAGTGGAGAATACTGCCTACACTTTTGTGGGGTCACCATTAAGCTTTGGTATTAGGGAGGCTGACAACTCATGTGCCATAAGACAGACTTGGGGATTAAACTGATCATCACTTTGTCCTTTGGCTTTAGTCAGTAATATAGAACCATCCTCCATTTCAACTCTTCTTAGAGAAAACATTTCACACACTGACCTAAAGATATCTGGACAGTTCTGATGATCTACATCAGGGATCAGCAAAAAGAGGTATTTAAAAAATATGTAGGGGGCTTCCCTGGTGGCGCAGTGGTTGGGAGTCCGCCTGCCGATGCAGGGGACACGGGTTCGTGCCCCGGTCCGGGAAGATCCCACACGCCGCGGAGTGGCTGGGCCCGTGAGCCATGGCCGCTGAACCTGCGCATCCGGAGCCTGTGCTCCGCAACGGGAGAGGCCACAACAGTGAGAGGCCCGCGTACCGCAAAAAAAAAAAAAAAAGTAGGGACTTCCTGCTGGCACAGTGGTTGGGAGTCTGCCTGCCAGTGCGGGGGACATGGGTTCGGGGCCTGGTCCCGGGGGATCCCACGTGCCGCGGAGGGGCTACGCCCATGCGCCACAACTACTGAGTCCGCATGCCTGGAGCCCGTGCTCGGCAACAGGACACCGCAGTGAGAGGCCCGCGCACCGCGGCGAGGAGTGGCCCCCGGTTGCCGCTGCTAGAGAGGGCTCGCGCGTAGCAACGAAGACCCAAGGCAGCCAAAAATAAATAAATCAATTTATAAAAAAATAAAAAATAAGTATCTAAAAAAAGCATACCAACAACACTTTTAGAAAGCAATTTATCTCAGCCATAAAAAAGAATGAAATAATGCCATTTGCAGCAACATGGATGGACCTAGAGATTATCATACTGAGTGAAGTAAGTTAGAGAAAGACATATAATATCACTTATATGTGGAATCTAAAAAAATGATACAAATGAATTTATTTACAAAACAGAAACAGGTTCCCAGACTTAGAAAACAAACTTACAGTTGCCAAAGGGGAAAGAGTTGGGGGAGGGATAAATTAGGAGGTTGGGATTAACATATACACACTTCTATATATAAAATAGATAAATCAACAAGGACTTACTGTGTACCACAGGGAACTATACTCAATATCTTGTAATAACCTATAATGGAAAATAGTCTGAAAAAGAATAGATATATCTATATGTATAACTGAATCACTTTGCTGTATACCTGAAACTAACACAACATTGTAAATCAACTATATTCCAGTATAAAATTTTAAAAAAATTTTAAAGCACCAAAACCAAATAAATAAAGTTCAATAGGATCCCCCTAAAAAATAAATAAAAATAAAAGCTACCCCCACAAAAAAGTGATTTATCAGTATCTGTAAGTGATGTTTGTAATACATGCCAGTGTTCATCTCAGAGTTATGTCTAATAATAAAATTCTATATTGGAGGGAATTCCCTGGCAGTCCAGTGGTTAGGACTCTGCATTTCCATTGCAGGGAGCATGGGTTTGATCCTTGGTTGGGGAACTAAGATCTTGCAAGCCGCGTGGTGCAGCCCCAAAAAAAGGGAAAGGCGAAATTTGGTAATTTATCAACTCCAGGGTGAGAAGGGTGAGAGGCATTGAACTGGGCAGACATGAGCCTTCACTTCACAGGCAACATGGAGACATCATGGTTAGGACTTGGTGCTCCGTGGGACTGGGTTCAATCCCTGGTTGGGGAAGTAATATCTTGCAAGCTGAGCGGCGAGGCCAAAAAAAATAAAATTCTATATTGGATTCAACTTAAAAATCAGCAGTAAGATGATTAAGTAGATTATAGTAATAAATACATTTTAAAATAACAATTATTATACAAAGATATTATTGTGCAAAATAAGTTGTTATACAACCCTGAAACATGAGAGAAAAAAAAAAGCTTACACTGAAGCTTTGTGGAGAGTCACGGCTGTACTTACCTGTGCTAAACTCCGTGGGCCGGGGTGCCCACATATCCTCAAGCTTCCACAGCCTCCATGTACCTGGATTCAGGTTGAAAGACTTCCAAATTTTAGATAAGGAGCAGACCTTCTTTTTTTTTTTTTTTTGCCAAGCAGTTTGTAGGACCTTAGTTCCCCGACCAGGGATCGAACCTGGACCCACAGCAGTGAAAGGGCCAAGTCCTAACCACTGGACCGCCAGGGAATTCCCGTGGAGCAGGGCTTCTTAAATAGCTTCTGACCCAGGGCATCTTCTCAGGATGCCATTGGAGTAAATTCCCCACACACTCCTCTTTCTTGGGATGGCATCCTTACCTGATCCCAGCCCCCTACTCACAAGCCAATAGGTTTCCGTGGCATTAATATAGAGCTCCTTTATGGGCTGGCTTCTGAGACTAAAGCAGTCAAAGCCTTAGTGCCTGCTGAGGAAATGGCCATGGTGCAGGTGGCGTCCATCTGCAAGGGCAGAATGAGAAATAGGAATCAGGTGACCTGTCCTCTAGTTCTCATCCCAGAGAAGGGAACTCTGCTCTCAGCCCCAGCCACTCTCTCTGTTTCACTATACCATGCTTTCTCCAGTGCAGTCTGGGTGCAAGGCTTCCCAGGGAGAAAGGGGAGTCCTTGGCAGGAGGCCAGAGGAGCAAGAAGTTTGGGACCTTCCCAGTTTCTCATGGCCCGCCGTAGGGGGAGTGAGCGGGAACTAGCATGCGTTGAGAGCTTTTACAACGTGTCACGCACCACGTGAAGCCCTTCACCTACATTATTGCTTCTCGTTCCCAACACAGAGAGGAGATGAGTATTATCATCCCCATTTTTTGGGTTCATAGACTTTTGCAGAGTTCCAAGACTACATAGCAGCCAGGATTTGAATCCGGCACAGACCAACTGCAGATCCCAAGATTTTCTTTCTGAGGCAGAGCAGCTCCAGGAGTGGAGGCAGCTGGAGTGTCCTGGAACAAGTGGGACCGGGAGCAGGCGATGCAGCTGAGGCTCCCATCTCTCCGGGGTCTGTCAGCCAGAGCCCTAAGCCCTTCGATTAACTCTCCCTCTAACCAATCCCAGCAGAAGCCTGGGTAATACCTCCCACCCAGAATCTGCGGGGAACCTGGCCCTTTTTAGGGATTAGGTGATGGAGATAAATTTCAAAAGCAAACGGCCCCCGTCGTCCCAATTCATTTGCAGCACACAACAATCCAGATTAAGGTACAGAGTTTGGGTTTTATTTGGAGATTAGTTGGTATTACAGACGACAGTGATATCAAAACCCAATGCTGCCACATGCACCACACCCACCCCATCCCGAAATCTGTCAGGTTGTCTCCGCAGCCCTAGGTCAGAGGGCAGCCAATCTGATATTTGTGAAAATTAAATAAACGTAAGCCCTGCATTCCTATTTCTACTTTATTACTTTAATATCACTCCCTCTTCAGATCCATGGTTGTGATTAATTCATCCAGGTGGCAGGAGGACAGGAGAGGGGGCCCTGAACTGTAAAAGGATTGATCCCTGCAGTCTAAAATTAGGATCGACACTCTCCTAGCTCACTTGACAGTCAGTTAGGTAATGGCCCAAAGGGCCCTTGGGTGAGGGGCAGCTGCCCATTCTCCTTTAGAGGGAGGACGTGTTGTCAGCTGGCATGAGAAGAATTGGGGACCAGGCCTGGCAGGAGAAGTGGGAAACATGGGCTCCCACCTCATCCCTCTGTAGGTACCTCCTGCCAAGATGATGGGCAGGTGTCCCTGGAGGGGCAGGGTGCTGGGTAGCAGAAGCCAGGCCCTTGTCACCCGCATCTAGGCTGGCCTGGAGGACAGCGGAAGAGAGGGATCCCTGAGCTAAACTTTCTTCCCATAAGAGAACTCCCTCGTGTAAAAGGAGAGGGCAGGGGATCCACTTCTGGTGTGTTCAGTCTTAAGGGGCAGGATGGGCTACAGGAGCCAGAGGAAGGGACTTGCAAGTTCTAGACCTAGATTAGGAGTGGTCCAGGCTGGTGACAATTGCCGAGGCATAGATGAGGTCAGACAGGCTGCCCAGTGAGGTCTGGGGAGCAGCTCGCTCTGAAGAGACGTACACCCCTGAAGCCCCAGCCGGTCCCCATGGGGCCGTAGCTTTGGCCCCTACCCAGCCCTGCCCTGAACCCAAGCCAGGATCTGGACAGGAGGCATGTCGACACACAGAGGCACACTGAGCTGTGCTGTTGGAGGGTGGAGGCTGGCCAAGGGTGCAGGGCTCCCAGGACTGCTGGATGGTGTCCGGAAGAGAAAGGGATCTCTGGGGAGGCTCAGGCCTGGGACTTAGGCCTCCTGGCTTCCTATTCTTGATTCTCTTGGCTCTGCGGTTCTGGAACCACACCTGGTAAGGAAAGAAGGAGTCTCTTCTGGTGCCAGCATCCCCTCCCCCCAGGTACAGGGAAAGCAGAACCTGGAGGCAGGATATCCAGAGAGAAGGGACTGTGACTCAAGCTTAGAAATCTGCTGTGTGAGAGCACCCCGACCCTGAGGTCGGGGGGAGGGGCACAGCTCACCTGTATCTTGGCCTCAGGAAGGCAGGTGACCCGGGCCAGGTGCTCACGGGTGCCGATGTCGGGGTAAGGCCGTGCTGCAAACACCCGCTCCAACTCCAGCAGCTGCCCTCTGCTGAAGGTAGTCCTCTTTCTCCGGTGGGGACCCAACCCACTGGCATGGCCTGCAGGCCAGGATGGGGGTCAAGTCAGGTCTCCTTGCAAGAGCCTCCACTGCAGCATCAAAGCCAACAGACCCTGAAGCCCCTACTCCCCACCCCTCTTCAACCTTCCCCATCATACCTTCCCCACATCCTCGCCCTGCCCACCCTTTCCCCACCAGATTACCTGCAGGGGATGCATCCACTGGACTGGCCATGGGGCCGGCACAGTTAGGAGCCCGATGGCCATGCCAAGGCTGTGCCCACACCGCTCCCCTCCGCGTGGAGTTTTATCCTGCTCAGAAGGCTGGCCCCGCCTCCAGGAGGCGGGAGGTTTGGCATCCAGCTCGAGGAGGGCTGAGAAGCCCTGGAGGAAAAGGGGGCTTGCAGGGGTATGGGTGGGGCAACCCTGTTCCTCTGGGGCTTCACAAAAGAAGCTGGCCCCAGCCCCCCTCCTCAAAGCTCAAACTCTGGCAGTCTGTGTCTGAAATTCTGTACTTTGTGAAAATCCTCCCAGGGCTCCGTCCAGGAAGCCAACGAGATCCCTCTCTAGATGCTCCTCCTGGGGCTCTGGTGCTGGCTGCCTTGGGGGAGAGTGGGTGGAGTCCTATCCCACAACTGAGGATGGGGCTGGGGAAGCTGGACAGGATGAGAAGCTGGACAGCAGATGAGCGGCAGCCACCCTCCCCTCAACAGGGCTGGGAGCAGATGTCGCCACCAGATCACCCTCAGTTCTGCTTTAGAGCTTTGCCTGCACCTAGCCCTTTGTCCCTGGCCCTTCAAGAGCCCAGATGGACTTCCTACAGTCCGGGAACTTGGAACCGGAGGAGGTTCCACAATTACATTTGAGGGGTTTTGAGAAAGATGTTTGTTTTTACAGTGTACTCATTGTTTGGAAGTCTTCTGGGCCACTTTTCTAAGAGAAATAGGTGCATTTGAATTTCCTTTCAGTTCCTGCCCTTCCTGTCTCTCCTGCCTCAGTGCTCTGCACCCCAGACCCAAGACAGAGACCTCAAAGGCTCATTATCATAGGGATAGGTTTGGGGGAGCACAGTGACCACTTCCCCAGGGACCCAAGGGTCTGAGCTAACAGCATTTCAGGTCCAGGATGGGCAGAAAAGCTGAGCTGGAACCCACCACCTCCTGCCCCCCTGCCCCTTCCAAGACCATAGTCAATGAAAAGGGGCAAAACAAACCCAGGGCTGGGTAGGGTAGCTTGGTGACTCCTGTCATCCTCAGAGGGGTCTAAGCTCCTGCTTAGCTGCTGGTGGGTTGCTGGGGGCTGCTCCGTGTGCGAGGAAGGCTTTCTCTCATGAGGCTCTCCCAACCCACAGCTTTTCTGGCTCATGGAGAGGGCCTGAGCCCAACACAGGATGGACACAAAGAAGGATCTTCTCTGTCCCCTCCCCCAAGTCACTCTGACTGCCCAAGGTCCCCTCTTTTACCCAGGCAGATCCCTGCCTCCTGCCTGTCCACCCCAGTCAGGACAGTAGTCTTAAACTCAGGGCCAAGGGATCTTTATTGAGCTGGGAGGAGGATGTTGGAGGAGGGAGCAGCAGAGGCCCAGCTGTTTGGACTCGGACTCCTACTCTTGGGCAGGGACTGGGCAGCCCAGCCAGTACTGGGCAATGGAGCGTGGGTAAGGAGGGATCACAGCATCCACTCGCCGTGTGCGAAGGTTCACTCGGTAGTACTTGTCTGGAAGAGAGGTTGGGAGAGGGTGCATGAGACCCTGCCTGGCCCTGCCCATCCTGCCCTAAGAAGACCTGGGTCTCTCCTGGAAGGGTAAGTGAACATCGGCAATGCACCAGAGGACTCCCAGCCTGGCATTTTGGAGTCACCACTCAAGGGCTGTGTTCAGCCCATGGGGACCAGGGACAGCAGGGATGACCCAGCTAGACCAGCTACAGGGCTGGCGAGGGCTCCCACCTCCTGAGAAGAAGTAGACGCTCTGGGTGGGCTCACAGTTGGCAGGCACAAGCCAGTCCATCTCGTAGTTATCATAGTTATAGTCTCCCAGGCCCAACTCCTCACTGGAGAACCAGGACAGCCAGGTGGAGCGAGATTGCCGGTAGGGGTTCTGGCTGCGTCTGCGGCCGCGGCCACGGCCACGGCGCGAGCGGTAGCGTTTACGATTGCGACGCACAGACTTGGTCTTCTTGGTCCAAGAGGAGCGGGGAGCTGAGCCTGAGATGTAGATGTGGCCAGCCATGGCCGCATCCACTTGTCCAGGCAAACCATGCCAGTCCTGGCTGATGAATCTGGGCTTTCCAGCACCACCTGTGGCAAGGAAGGGGTTAATGGGGAGCCCTGGAGGTCAAGGATGGGCTATGCCTTGTCCAAGGACACACAGCAAGTTAATGTCAGAGCCCAGCATCCCAGCCTTCCAACTACCTGTTCAATACGCTTTCCCCTGGCCTCCCTCCACCATATCCCTCCCCAGTTGCCTCAGCTACAGCTCCTCCTTCTGCTGGCTGTGCTGTTGGCTGTGCTAGGCAAAGTCCAAGGTGTGGGGTCCGGGTGGAGGCAAGCCTCCCCTACAAAGGTCAACAGAAGCAAAGTCTGGCCTGAGCAAACAGCTTTTGACTGATAGATGCACAGTCACAGCCCCTCAGGCCAGCTCAGCCCTACCTCTACCCTGGGGGATCCCAGCCCTCTGGATGGGGAAGCAAGACTTGCCCTCCCTCTGTACCAGAGGAACTGCCCCAGAAGAGAAGTCTGAAGATGTCCTCCCAGCTGTCCCGCTGCATCAGAGCAAAGTGTTCAAACACGGCCGACTGGGAGCTGCCTTCGCACTCCTCTTGGCTGGGCTGCTGCTGGAACTCGTACTCCCAGTACTGTCTCCCTGGGGAAGGGTGGCCATGAGCAAGGCTGGAAAGCCCAGAGGCTGCAGAAGTTAGGAGCTCCTGGCAAGGGGGGTGGGGATAATCTGAGGCCTGTCGCCAGTGAAGTTTAAAGAAGACCAAGAGTGCTGCAGCGCATGCGCACCCTGCCTCCCACCTCCCGAGTACCCTTGAAGAAGTAGACCCGCTCCCGGCCACTGTAGCTATGAGCGGGGAGGGCCAAGGCTGCGTCCACGTTGTCCGGAATGCCCCTGAAGCCTTCAGAGATGTTGCGGGGGAAATTGGGGTCCAGGACACCATCCTCAAAGCGCCAGTACTGACTACCCTAAGGGGTCGGGAAGGAGAAGAGGGTGAGGAGACAGTTGGCTGTGCACAGAGGCAGAGTCCCCGCCCAAGGCGGCAGCCCTAGTTCCAGGCTTGTCACCCAGGACCTGGAGCCTTGGGCTTCTGTGTCCTCACAGAGCCCCAGCCAGGGACCACAGGCCAGAATCCAGCCTTCTTGCCTACTTTGATCCTGGGCACAGCAGCCCTCAACCTCTGCCTAGATACGCTCGGCCCTGACCCACAGCCCCTGGGCCTGGCACCTTGAAGAGGTAGGTCTTCCCCTGACAGTTGATGCGGGTGAAGGCAGCATCAATGGGACCCTCGATGCCCCAGACATCACGGATGAGCTTGGGGTACCCAGGCCTCACTGCCTTTTCATCCAGCTCATAGCAGTAGAGCCCTAGAGGGAGGGAGGCTGTGTGAGGGAGGATGCTCCTGGGGCAGACCCCTACCCCCATAACCTGCCCCTCGAGTCACCTCGGAAGGCAAAGAGGGAACCATTCTTGAGGTCGGTGAAGGCATCGAAGGGCTTCCCACTGCACTGCTCTTCCTCTGCTGGGGACTCGGAGATCCCTAGATTACCAGTCTCGGGCATGACGGGCCCCACTTCAGGCTCTGAGTTCCCCCGCCCAGGTCCTGGGGCTTCTTCCTCAGGGTTCAGAACAGGTGCCTGCTCAGTAGTCTCTTCAGGCTGCGCCTGCCGGACAAAGGTCTGGGTGGGGCTCTCTGGCTGTGCCTGGACGCTGGTATTGGATCTGGTCTCCTCGCGGTAGTCGTGGAAGGTGTACTCGTCTTCTGGCAGAGTGAATACATCCCCACGAGTCACTGCAGGCAGGAGGGTGGTAGTGAGTCTCCAGCTGCAGAGGGGACCCCAGGCCCGCCCAGCCACTCTGAACGCACCTTGGGGCTTGCACTCCACCACGTAGTCGGGGCAGCAGCTCTGGTAGTAAGAGCAGAGCTCGTCACACTGACACTTCCTGTCGGAGTTGAAGCCCTCAGTGCAGCGGCCCTTGCACGACTCTGTGGGGAGGGGATATCAGTTGGCACGGCCAGGCCCAGACCACCCTTGCCCACCCTACATTGACCCAAATGGCCACCAACACCCTCCGGCACCTTGGTCAGCCAGAACAACCCACGCCAGCAGGGCCAGCATCAGAAGGGGCCTTGGGGATGCCATGGCAGGGCCTCTGGCCTCGAGCCTGGTGAAGTAGGCTCTCTGCGGTCTCTGCTCTGATGCCTGAGGAAGGGAGGGAGTGGCAAGACAAGGAGGAGGGGAACCAGAGAAGAGGAGCTGCCTTTTCTACTGCTCTGTTTGCTCAACCCCCAGCCCAGCCCCCAGTGACCCGACCCCAGAGGCTGTTGCAGCAGAGGGTCATGTTCCTGGAACTCCGGGCCTGGGAGAGCTGTGAATAGGATCCTTACCAAGCTCAGGGGCATCTCTGAAGTGCACTAGCACAGTGAATCTGGAGGGCAGAAAGAAGTCCCACTCTGCCGCTCACCGGCTGTGGGACCCTGGGGCAAACTGCTTTACCTGCCTTAGTTCTTTTTTTTGGCAAAATGAGACTAATCATACTCGCCTCACAGGGTGTTGGGAGCTAAAGCAGACAAAATGCCCAGCTGCTGGAGTAGCTCCAACTTCATTCTCCATTAGTGGTTATTGACCTGTGACCTGTTTGATCAGGCACATCCCTGGCTGGGTGGTTCACCCACCCTTTGTGTATTTAGGGCGGTGAAAGAGGGGGTAGGAGCTGGGGACATTTTTTTTTATCACAAAAGAACAAAGTTTCATTTCTGGGTTCATCTCCAGGGTGCATTGATGTCCCCAAGCTGGTCTTCACAGCACGGTAAGTTGGGTGAATATTAACCCTTTGGACTGGATGTGATTCCTGAGTCTTCCACTAATTTACTGCTTCTCAGCAGGCCACTCCCTGTCCCCACCCTCATCCTCCCCCATCGGTAACAAGTGGCCCAGTTCCCCACACTTTTAGGCTCCAGTGAGAAATAGGATCCCTCTACCTAGAAAATGCTCACTGGCACACAACACCTGATTTTGTGCCCACTTTCAGGGGTTCACATACCTCTGGAAGTCCTCCCACCACCTGGAGGGAGTGATCCTCAGAGATTCCGATGCTTTTTTTCTGTTCTATAATCAGAGGGGAGTGTGACTTTGGAGAATCTTCTCCACGGACCTCAGTCGGTTCAGCTGTTAAATGGGAGCAGTAATTGCTACCTCGTAGGCACGATGTAAGACTTACTTGAGAAACAGGCATAAAGTGTCTCAAGAGTTGCTATTATGATTGCATTAACCACTAGTAGGGCAAAGGCACACTCAACCGTGTTGCCCTCACATTCCAGTGTCATCCCAGTGTCTCCAACGCAAAACCGAAGCAGTCCTTCCGCCTCCCACCTCTTTCCCCTGCAACCAGTAGAGGGGGCAGGGAACGTGACTAGGGGGAGAGGCCTGGCCAGCGTGTGGGCGTAGCTGGAGAAGACTTGGGAGTGGGGCTACGCAGGCGGCAAGGGAGGAGCCCCGCGAGACCGAGAGGCGGGGCGTCGGCTCCCAGACCACAGCTTCTCAGGGGCGGGGTTCCTGCAGAGCATCCCTGCGAACCTAGGCGAAACTGGAACCGCTCTTTGTTCTGGTTGCTGCTTTCTAGACCCTCTGGACCCTGGGTCCATTCCTCGCCTTCCCGCTCTCTCCTCCCGCCTGTCCCCTGCATCTGGGCCTGCATCCCCTTCCCCAACTTCTTCGTCCTATATCCTGCCCTCACCCCTCCCCCAAACTTCTGGCCGGTGCCCTTGCCTGTTACCCTTCTCTCCACCCTCCCTCCTGCATCATCTTCCCCCTGGTCCCCTCTTGGTTCCTCCTTTTCCCAAGGTCTGGGTCGCTCCGCCCGGCCCCGCCTCTCCAGGGATGTCCCCTGAAACCCCGTGCCCATGGTCCTGACGCTGCTTCTCTCCGCCTACAAGCTGTGCCGCTTCTTCGCCATGTCGGGCCCACGGTCGGGCGCCGAGCGGCTAGCGGTGCCGGGGCCGGACGGGAGCGGCTGCGCTGGGCCGTGGTGGGCGGCGGGCAGCCGCGGGCCCCGCGAGGTGTCGCCAGGGGCGAGCACCGAGGTGCAGGGCGCCCTGGAGCGCGCGCTGCCCGAGCTGCAGCAGGCGCTGTCGGCTCTGAAGCAGGCGGGCGGCGTGCGGGCCGTGGGAGCCAGCCTAGCCGAGGTCTTCCAGCTGGTGGAGGAGGCCTGGCTGCTACCAGCCGTGGGCCGCGAGGTAGCCCAGGGTCTGTGCGACGCCATCCGCCTGGACGGTGGTCTGGACCTGCTGCTGCGCCTGCTCCAGGCGCCGGAGCTGGAGACGCGCGTGCAGGCTGCCCGCCTGCTGGAGCAGATCCTGGTGGCAGAGAACCGGTGAGGGGGCCGGGCTGGGGCGGAGAGCGCCGCGTGGTGTAGGGTCGCAAGGGCGGTCGAGTGCCTCGGTCTCCCGTGTGCCTCGCACTGTGCCTTTCCTGCCTCACCTCACAAACCCCTGCATTATATCCCTGTTGGGGACCAGCGTGTCCATTTTACAGATGAGGAAACTGAGCCCTGGGAAAGTTTAGTGACTTGCCCAGCGTCACACAGTGAACTAACGGTGCAGCCAGGATTCACTCCCAGAGCTGGTGGGGTGAGAAATGAGAGAGGGGAGGAATGGAGTAGCAGGACGGGGATCTGTCCCTGGTTCTGAGGATGGAGCTGGGATCCCATTGCCCAAGCCCTCTAAACCCACAGCCCTCCTCGCGATGGGCCTGGATATCCTTCCGTGCTACCTTCTCTCTGCCATACCGTCCCACTCCCACTAAAAGAGAAAGAGAACACATTGCTCAGAAAATAGGAGGGGGGACCCCTTTCCTCTTCCCCCAGGCTGAAATGAGTGCTTACCTAAGGTTACCTGCTGCCTTCATGCCACCCCCCAGCAGTCCACTTCCTGCTTCCTCCTTTTTCATTTTGCTTCATGTAACAGGACAGACATGATCTCATGCTGTGCCTGCTCATGGGAAACACGATGGGTGTTTTCAGTTGGGATGGATGGTGGGGGAAGAGAAAACTGAGGTGTGGAGCTAGGCAGGGGCCAGAGTATGTGTTCCCTACATCTTCCCCACACGTGCCAAGATACAGTAGGTGGGGTCCAACTGAAGCCTGGTTGCTATGCTTCCGTGCCTCTTGGGATCTCCCCTGGAATATGAGGACCACTGACCCACTTCCTTGCCCCTCTAATGCCGGAGGAGACCAGGCTGTCACACTCCAGTCTCATGCTGAATTCTCGGGCCCTTCAGGTTTAGAAGGGTTTTGGAAGGGCCACTTTCCATTTATGAAGCTCTCAAAGGTGTGATGGGCATGGATTAGGGACGTTTTCCTTGCCCTTTTCAAAAAGTAAAGATAAGCTTGTGGATGGTGGAAATGATACAACTTTCAAAAGTGCATGAATGAAGCAATTTAAGTTGGGAGGCCAAGTTAGGATTCTGCTTGTTCAGTAAGTCATTAATCTTCTATCTAACAACAGGTGTCCTGTTGGGGATGGGCTGTGAATGTGGAGGGCTAGCAAATGGAGTGGGTGCTCACTGGATGTGGTGGGCTAGCATTGAAGGGTGTGTCCTGTAGGCCTGGTATGTGGGATAGGGCAGCTATAACTAGAACTCCTGGAGAATGGGTGCAGCCAGCACCCTAAGAAGAGGAGGGCTGCAAGATGCAAATAGAACTGATACTTTTCAAGGTTGAAAATAACAATCCTTACCTGGTTCAGAATTACCGAGAAAGGAGGCACACTAACCGGTGTCTCTGGTCCCAAGAAACAACGTGCTGGTGTTGGCATCGCTTCAGGACCAAGGACAGAACCCAGCGAGCCAGGTCCCGATCAAAATCCTCCCGGAGAAAGGCATAATCTCCCCACACCTCTGCACTGCTCCGAGAGGAGGCTGGGAGGGCAAGAAGGGAAGAGGGTGATGACACACTGAGAATTTGTGTCTATGAAATTTTTTCCTTTCTCCACCAACCAACTTCCTCATAAAGAAGGTTCTTCTATCAGTGCACCCACTCCTTTTGCCATTCCCTTTCCTGCAGCTCTCTTCTTCCCTGGGTGCTGCCACACTCACTGCCCGGGAGCCCAGGTCACAGCTCCACTGACCCTCGAATACCAGGAGAAGCCCAACAGGGTAGGGCGCTCTGAGCCTGGTCCCACCACACTCTTACTACTAGCCCTCTAAAGTCACAGCCTGCCCCCTTCAGGAGACCATAATGAGGTTAAATGGCTTTCCCAAGAATACACAGTGAATAAGTGGAGGTGACAGGTTTTTAAAAGAAAGAAAGGAAAAGGAAAAAAAAAAAAACAACCATTGCACATAAATTCAAGTGCAAAGTACAAAAATGATACACACTTAAACGTTCTTCTTTCTGTTCACTGGAGGCAAACCGGTGAAACAAGTTTCTTGTACGTCTTTCCAAGAGAGAGTCTCTGCATATACAAGCACTTGCATATATGTGTATATTACATATACAGGCTTATATATGTGTATATATGGACAATTTACCCCTCTTTCGGAGCTGTGATTTGATCCCAGACCCACAGCCTCTCAGACTGTAGAAGAATTGGGAATTGAGTGAATAAATGTCACAACTAGCACAGAGTTCAACTCTATAAAGGTGCCAAGTGCATAGGGAAAGGTGAGGGCTGGGGTTCAAGAAATGCACAATTGCACAGTTCCCTGGTGGCCTAGTGGTTAGGATTCCGGGCTTTCACCGCCATGGCCCGGGTTTGATCCCTGGTCGGGGAACTGAGATCCTGCAAGCCTCGCAGCCAAAAAAAAAAAAAAAAGAAATGTGAATAAAGTCCTCTTTCTGAATGGATGTTCCTGAACATGCCCTTCCCTTCATTGAGCCTCAGGGGGGGTGTTGTTGGATTAGATGACTTCTTAAGCACTTCCTGGTTCTGATATTCTTGAAGTATATATAGTCAGATTGTTCTGGAAGCACAAAGTGCAGACGAAGGATCTTGAGCCCTGGAGACAGATAGATGTGAGTTCAAATCCCAGCTATGCCTCTCACCAGCTGTGTAACCTGGGCATGCCATGTAACCTCTCTGAGCCTTGGCTTTCTCCTTGGTTAAAGGAACAATTGCAGTGCCGTCTGCCCGAGTGGATGATTAGAACCCATCTGTTCCTTTGGGCTACAGAGAAGTTCAGTGATCAGCTCAGCAAAGCTGTCCTGGCCTCAGGCCATGTTCTGGGCTCAGCTGGGCCCTGCAGTGGACACAAAGTCATAAGCACTGTGGCCACTGTGGTGCTCACTGGGCAAGGACTCCATAGCTGGCTGGGCCTATAAGTCTTTGAGGGACATCATTGGTGGAGGTCAGGAAGACAGGACACTTTCACCTCTGCCTGGAGTGTGGCAACTCTCCTGTCTCCTCTCTTGGCCTCCAAGCTCTCTCCCTTTGACCTGTCCTCCCCACAGCAGCCAGAGCGAGTTTCCTAAAACCTATGTGTTAACCAGGTCACTCCCCTTCCTGAAGCCCTTCAGTGACTCCCCATTTGCCATCAAGATGAAGTCCAAACGCTTTGAGATGGCTCAAACGGCCCCCAGGAACTCTTTCCTCACTCTTCCCTTTGAAACTTCCACCTCAACCACTTGTAGTAGCTTCTGCTTTTTGCCCATTTAATGGGTGTAAAGTGATAGCTGGTTTAATTTTTATTTCTCTGATTACTAATGAATTAGAGTATCTCTATTTGCTTGTTAACGTTTTGAATTTCCTTTGGTAAGTTGCCCATTTGTGTCCTTCGCCCCTTTTCTGTTGGATTTACTGCCTTTTGCTTGTTCATTTGAATATGTATTTATATATTCTATATACGAGTCCCTCGTTGATTTTATACTTTTCCTTGTTTGTTTTAGACATTGCAAACATCTCTGGCTTTCTTTCTCTTCCTGGAACGTGCCAAGCTCATCAGCCCTCGGGGCTTTTGTCCTTGCTGTTCTCTCTGCCTATTAAGCTCTCCTTCCAGATACTGGCAAGCAGGGGTCTCTGGACATTTAACTCGCAGATGTCACTTCCTCAGACATATCCCTCCACCCAGGCACTCTCCATCGGAGCACCTGGTTTTGCTGTCGTTTTGGTCAGATAACTATTATCCTGTTCATTCACCGTTTACTTGCTTACTGTTTGTCTCCATATTAGCTGTTATTAGCTCCAGTCTCTCTCAGGCACTGTTTAACTTCAGCCCCTATTGCGGTGCCTGGTACACAGTAAGTCCTCAATAAATGGTGTTTTGAATGGATGAATAAATACACCCCAGTCACACAGCATAGAGTGCAGAGAATTTTGATGAAATGAACATTTATTGAGGCTTTCCTATGTGCCAGGAACTGTGCCAAGCACTTTACATGCATTCTTACATTAGTTCTCGTAATAACTCTATGGGGTGGGTATTCACTTTATCCTATTTATGAGATGAGGAAACCAATAAAGATAAAGGAAGGTACCCAAGGTCCCACAGCTAGAAAATGGTAGAGAAGAAACCAGGACCCAGGAGATCTGCTCTAGAGCTAGAATTCTTAACCACTACACGTGCTGCTTCTCCAGGGAAGGGTGTCTGGGAAGAAATGCGTGTGGCCAGGATGGAGCACCCTTATAATCAGAGAAGTCTGGTTGTCCCAGGGCAGGAGATGAGGGAGGTGGAGGAGGCAGGGAGGACCAGACTCATGTACTATTTGACGCTAGCGAGGCCCAGAAAGCATAAGTAACGAGGCCCTGGGTTAAGATAAGCACCCCGGGCTGCGGCACCTCCACTTCCTCCCTCCCGCTTTCCTTCGGCAGGGACCGAGTGGCGCGCATCGGGCTAGGCGTGATCCTGAACCTGGCAAAAGAGCGGGAGCCGGTGGAGCTGGCGCGGAGCGTGGCCGGCATTTTGGAGCACATGTTCAAGCACTCGGAGGAGACGTGCCAGCGGCTGGTGGCGGCCGGCGGCCTGGACGCGGTGCTGTACTGGTGCCGCCGCACCGACCCACCGCTGCTCCGCCACTGCGCGCTGGCGCTGGCCAACTGCGCGCTGCACGGGGGCCAGGCGGCGCAGAGGCGCATGGTGGAGAAGCGCGCCGCCGAGTGGCTCTTCCCGCTCGCCTTCTCCGAGGACGAGATGCTCCGACTGCACGCCTGCCTCGCCGTGGCGGTGCTGGCCACCAACAAGGAGGTGGAGCGCGAGGTGGAGCGCTCGGGCACGCTGGCCCTCGTGGAGCCGCTAGTGGCCTCACTGGACCCCGGCCGCTTCGCCCGCTGCCTGGTGGACGCCAGTGACACCAGCCAGGGCCGCGGGCCTGACGACCTGCAGCGCCTTGTGCCACTGCTTGACTCGTCGCGCTTGGAGGCGCAGTGCATCGGGGCTTTCTATCTCTGTGCCGAGGCTGTCATCAAGAGTCTGCAGGGCAAGACCAAGGTGGGTGCGGGTGTGGGGTTGGGTGGGGAGGGGGTTAAAGAGAAACTGGGAAGGCGCCCCAGAGGAAATGACATTCAGCTGGGACTTGAGGAACTTCCCTGGTGGTCCATTCGTTAAGACTCCACGCTTCCACTGTAGGGGACACGGGTTTGATCTCGGGTCAGGGAACTAAGATCCCGCATGCCGGTGGCACAGTCAAAAACAAAACAAACAAAACAAAAACAAAAAACTAGGACTTGAAATACACATGAGAGGTGAAATAAGGAGAAAGATGAGGGACCCATCATTCTGGCCTTGAAGGCAAGACCAAGGTTTTATGTAGGGGACATACATCTCTGTATGATCTCTGTGTTCTACAAAGATCACCCTGACTGCTGCATGGAGATGGGGTAGGCAAGGGTGAGGCTGCAGGCCGGGGGGTCAGATAGAAGGCCATGGCAGGGGGCAGCTGGGATGGTGGAGGTGAGGACCAGGGCATGACAGCAGAGGCAGAGAGAAGCAGATTCCAGAGGTACTGAAGAGACAGAGTTAGAACTCGGTGGGCGGCTGGGTGGAGGAAGATGAGCAGCTGAGGATGCTACTGAGATAAGGTGAACTGGGTGAGATAGTTTGAGGGTGGAGAGAAAGTGAGTTCAATGGGACAGATGGAGTTTGAAGTGCCTGAGGGATGACAACCTGGGGTGCTCCAGTGGGCCATTCTGTCATTTGGGTCTGGAGTCCAAAAAGGAGATGGAGTAAACAGAGGCAGGACATCCATGTGTCAGCTAGATAACTCCCACCCAAGTCCCAAAGGGTCCCCAATCTCAGGACCTGATATGCAGCCTTTGCCCTCTGCTTTAAATTGCTGTGTGACTGTGGGTACCTGGCTTCCCCTCTCTGGGCCTTTATGTGCCTCACTTTTTTTTTTTTTTTTTTTACTATTTATTTATCTATTTGGTTGCGCTGGGTGTTAGTTGCAGCAGGCAGGCTCCTTAGTTGCGGCTTGTGAGCTCCTTAGTTGTGGCATGCAAACTCTCAGTTGCGGCATGCATGTGGGTTCTAGTTCACTGACCAGGGATCAAACCCTGGCCCCCTGCATTGGGAACGCGGAGTCTTATCCTCTGTGCCACCAGGGAAGTCCCTATATGCCTCACTTTTGACCTCTGGAAAACTGAAGGAGTGGACCACAGCAGCAGTTCTTACCCTGGATGTGAGACTAGTAATAGTTAAATTATCGAAAGTTTCTGGTGTTAGTTTTTTAAATATTACAGAATTAAGATTATCCAATAATGTCACACTCCCTCCTTTGTATTCCTCTGGAGGTTTGGGGGGTTAGTGACCGCTGGTGCACAGGGAGCGGTGCACACTGCATGGACCACCCTGTCTGTGCGACAGTGGTCATCTGGGGCTGGACAGGGGTCATCAGAGGAGCGTGTCTCACAGGTGATTGTCACCCATCACGTGTGTTCCCATAGATGCAGAAGAGACTGTTGTGTTAGGGGGTCTCTGAGGCCTCTTCCAAGGTCCAGTGTTCTAGGAGCTTTCGATTCTCCTCTCTGCACCCCAGAGTTGGGCCATGGGAGGACTGGCTTTACAAAACAGGCCATTCTGTTTTGGGAGGAGGGATTTAAAGGGAAGTAGGGAGTGAGGACCCCAAGGAGTGGGTCTTGGCAGCAGCCATGACCACCAGCCCTAGCACCTCTTTCCCAGCAAGGCCAAGTGAGCGCAGTTCAATATAGACATAGTGAGCCCTCACTCTGTGCCCTGCAGTGTGCCAGTTATGGGACTCCAGGGGTGACTAAGACATGACCTCAGCTTACAGTCCAGTAGAAATTGCATTATCAATTAACAACAGTAGCATCCAGAGTGTAGCACAAGGCCTAACTGGAGGTATGGGCCAAGCTGTGGGGCAATCAAAGCAGGCTGCATGTTGGAGGTGCCAATCAATTTGGATCCAATGGATGAGTAGGATTCCCACAAGCAGGCTAGAAGAACTAAGGGTCTGGAAACACCACAGGTTGAGTGAGGCCCAGAGGTGGGAGAGCCTCCATGGGTGGGTGGCTTGGTGAAGGGGGAGTAGAGCGGGGATTGGTGGGCAGGGGCTGCACTGTGCCAGGCCTGGCAGCCATACTGAGAACTCGACTTGATTTCAGGGCAGATGGAAGCTGTAGAGGGGAGGCATGAGAGGGACTTACCTGGTCAAGAGTTGAAGGAGCTTCTGGAGGGGGAATCCACAGGACCTGGTGATTTATTGGATGAAGGCAGGGCAAGGGCAGACGGTGGGGTTTTCAGCGGTGAGAAGAGGCGAGGGAAGGGACCAGGCACGTTTGGGGGCGGCTGGTGAATTGGTGGGTCCAAGACATCCTCTCCGCACTTCCCCAGGTATTCAGCGACATAGGTGCCATCCAGAGCCTGAAACGCCTCGTCTCCTACTCCACTAATGGTACCACGTCGGCGCTGGCGAAGCGCGCGCTGCGCCTGCTGGGCGAAGAGGTGCCGCGGCCCATCCTGCCCAGCGTGGCCAGCTGGAAGGAAGCCGAGGTCCAGACATGGCTGCAGCAGATCGGCTTCTCCCAGTACTGCGAGAGCTTCCGGGTAGAGCCGCACGGGGTCGCCGGCCGGCGGTCGGAGCAGGCGCATCCCCCAGGGCCGCGTGGCCGCTAGGGGCGCCCTGCACACAGGCGACCGCGCCCCATCCCGGCGCAGCACGCCAGCGGCACCAGGGTGGACTTTTGGGGGTGGGGAGCCTGTACTCAGTGTTTTTCGGGGTCATTCGGTTCTCATCTGGGTCCCATCCGCCTCCCCTACCGCCATCTCCAGGTCCCTGCTCTTGATCTTGTGCTGGGTGGGGTGCAAATGCTGAGGATGGGAGCCTTTCCTTACATCTGACCCCTCCTCCAGGAGCAGCAGGTGGATGGAGACCTGCTTCTGCGGCTCACGGATGAGGAACTCCAGACCGACCTGGGCATGAAGTCAGGCCTCACTCGCAAGAGGTACGGAGCCTCCAGCCCGCATACTCCCCCGCCCCGGGCAGGTCTGACTAAACGCCCCCTCCACCTCTAGCCAGTGCCCAGTCAAGATCTCAGCATCCTCTCCTCCCTTGGGTGCAGATTCTTTAGGGAGCTCACGGAGCTCAAGACCTTCGCCAACTATGCTACATGCGACCGCAGCAACCTGGCTGACTGGCTGGGCAGCCTGGACCCGCGCTTCCGTCAATACACGTATGGCCTGGTCAGCTGCGGCCTGGACCGCTCCCTGCTGCACCGAGTGTCGGAGCAGCAGCTCCTGGAGGACTGCGGCATCCACCTGGGCGTGCACCGCGCCCGCATCCTCACGGCCGCCAGAGGTCAGCCTGCCCACCTGGGCCCCTAGCCCTGCCCCTGCCCCTGCCCTGGAGGGGTGAGGGGAGACACATGGGGGGGCGCTCAGAGCCTCCCTGCGGGTTGATTGAGCGCGTAGGCTGTGCTGCACTGGGCTCTGAGGATAAAGATGAATATGTTGCACTTTGCCCTCAAGAAGTTCCCAGTCTGAGGAGGGTAGGAGGGTGGGAGGAAGGCAGATGTATAAACAGGCACGTGGCTGCAGGAGCTGGCATGCCCAGGACTCCAGTGGGAACCTAGAGGAAGCACCACCTACCCTGTCCACCCAGGCCTAGGCTTTGGAGAGGGGAGGATGCCTGACCAGGTCTTGAAGGACGTGTTGGGGGTGGGGAAAAGAGTGGTGGCAGCAGGAAGAGCAGCCCAGGCAGAGGGAGCCGTACATGCAAGTGTGGAGGTGAGACAGCATGGAGGCTGGGTACAGGGGATGTGGGCGAGAAGACAGAGGGCTTATCCTGTTAGTCCACAGCTGACAAAGTATGGGTGCTTTAGGGAGGTCGTGAGAGCAGAGTGGATCCTAGGGCTCTAGCAGCCCTCTTGATTTATTAATTTAATTTACTAATTTACTATTTGGCTGACATTTATTGTCAATTACTAGAGGCCAGGTCCTGATTAAGTTTTTAACAGATATTATCTCATTAATCTCTACATCCATTCTGTGCAGTGGGTGTTTGTTTTTTTAAAGTCAGCTTTTAAAACTTTTTAAAGAATAGAAGTGGTATAATTTAACTTAAAAGTGTCCAGTTTGAGCAGTTTTGAATGTATACCCCTGTGTAATCATAATCAAAGATAAAGGACAGTTCCATCATGGGGGTTAATTTTACAGGTGATGAAACTGAGATTTAAATTCATCTTGTAAGGTTATAAGTCATTAAATGACAGAACTGGGATCTCAACCTCTGCCTTTATACCTCGTAAAGAGACAAACGTTGTCTGTGACTGTTGTCTGAATATTATAAGATGGGTTCTTTTCATGCGTGCGTGCATTCAATAAGTATGTACTAAGCTCCCACAGGGGACAAGGGACTGGGCTTTGGCCCCATTCTTTTGCTTCAACCAAAGCAGATTAACTTCTATCATTTTTACATTGCAGCTCCCAATAAATCCCCAAGATTTACTTTTTTAAAAACAAGAGGGTGCTACCGCAAAAATAGCTTACAAACATCTCCTGTAGGGAGTAGGGAGCCATGCACAGTTTTGAAGTGGGGGCAATGACACACTCAGATTTGGATTTTAAGCAGAGCTCTCTGGTGCCTGCGGCAAAAAGGTTAGACTGGGCAGGTGTGGATCTGGAGAGACCACTGAGGACGCTGGAGTTGGGGGCCTGGACACAGGGACGGCCCTGAGGCTAGAGTCCAGGATGTTAGTAGGTAGAATCCACAGAGCACGGTGCCTGACCCTGAGCATTGAATGTCAGCTCCATGAGGGCAGGGTTTGTTTTGTTCATTGCTGTATCCCAAGCACTAAGAATACTGCCTGGCACACAGAAAGCACTTAGTAAATATTTGTTGAATGAATGAATGAGAGGCAGGAGTTGAGGCTGATACCCAGGTTTCTGGCTTTGGTGGGAGACTAGGAAGAAGTGGGGTCTGGGGAGGATTTGGGATGGGTTGGGTTTGGAGTACCCATGGGCAGCTGGCTGTGCAGGTCTGGAGCTCTAGAGAGAGGGCAGTGCTGGAGGTGTCCCCAGAACACAATGCCTGCCTCCTGAGAGGGCCTCACTGATAGTTTGCAGCCTGCCTTCCTGTAGGCCCCATCGCTCCACCTCTCTGACCCTTTTTGGAGCAAGCCACCCTGCCTGGGCTGGGCTGAGAGGGCTGGGTATGCAGGAGATTATGTACCTCGTGGTGAATGATGGGGAAGGCCCACCCTCACCAAGCCGTCCCTTGTCTGCTTCAGAAATGCTACATTCCCCTCTGCCCTGCACCGGCTGCAAGCCCTGCGGGGACACTCCAGACGTCTTCATCAGCTACCGCCGGAACTCAGGCTCCCAGCTCGCCAGGTGAGGAGGGGCGGACAGGCAGGCTGCCTGGGGCCTTGTGGGGAGGCCACGGCAGTGACACAGGACCTCTCTGCAGCCTCCTGAAGGTGCACCTGCAGCTGCACGGCTTCAGTGTCTTCATTGATGTGGAGAAGCTGGAAGCGGGCAAGTTCGAGGACAAGCTCATTCAGAGTATCATGGGTGCCCGCAATTTTGTGCTGGTTTTGTCGGCTGGGGCTCTGGACAAGTGCATGCAGGACCACGACTGCAAGGACTGGGTGCACAAGGTAAGTGCTGGCCTCTGTGGTCCCAGCATTGGCCTGTCGCCCAGGGCACAAGGTCCCCGTTTCATTCTTTCTCACCTGCATATACTCCAGCAACCTCCATAGCCCAGCTGGAAGTCAGGAGCCATGGCTCTGACTGTAATAGGACTTGAGCAACTCACTTAGGTTCTCCGAGCCCCAGTTTTCTCATCTACAAAATGGGGGTAACTTACCTGTCCTGTTCACCTCGTAGAATTGTTGTGAGGGTCAGAGAAGGATGAACACGCTTTGAAAAATAACCTCTGTGAGGGAAGGGGGGCAGGAGAGCATAGTGACAGGCACAGTGGAATGGTTAAGAGCTGTGAGTTTAAATCCTGTCTCTGGCTTTGGGCAAGTTACTTAACCCTAATGAGCTTCATGTTTATCACTGGAAAGCGGGATAGTTATAGTACCTAACTCCCTAGGGTATTGTTAGGCAGATTAAAAGAGGTAAAATTTGTGAAGTGCTTAGCAGAATGCCTGGCACATAAGAACTGCTGTATGATAGCAGCAATGACTATTATTAATATAATTTTTGTGAGTACTACCACTGTTTAATTCCCCATTGTATCCCGAGTGCCTAACGCATAGTAAAAACTTATTGGGAACTTGTAGAATGGATGGATGGATCTGTATCACATCTGTAGGTTATTAATCATTACTCGTTAGTCAGCAGGAATTGGGGCCAGGGCAAAGGGAAGCAGTTGTCATATGGATAGGGCCCTTGTCCTAAAGCAGCTAAGGAGACAAAGATATGCCCAGAATGACTAGATCATACATAAATTGGTGTCAACGTAAAGCCAGGTAGGCGAACCTCTTACTTGCTATAAGAATATGGAGAAAGGAAAAAAACATCAAGGGCTGGAATAACCCGGGGAGGCTTCGTGAAGGAAGCAGAACTTGAGAAGAGTCTTAAGAGTTTAGGCCAGCGGAAGAGAAGGCATCTCAGGCAGGGCAACAGCAGGAGCAAAGAAGAAAAGTAGGCATGAGGGGCTTCCCTGGTGGCACAGTGGTTGAGAGTCCACCTGCCAATGCGGGGGACGCGGGTTCGTGCCCCGGTCTGGGAAGATCCCACATGCCGCGGAGCAGCTAGGCCCGTGAGCCATGGCCGCTGAGCCTGCGCGTCCGGAGCCTGTGCTCCGCAACGGGAGAGGCCACAGCAGTGAGAGGCCCGCGTACCGCAAAAAAAAAAAAAGTAGGCATGAGAAGGGTGCCAGAAACCTGCATTATCACTGGTATTGCCTTCTCCATTTTACGGATGAAGAAACCAAGGCTCGGAGAAGTAGAATAATTTTTCCCATGGCCACACTGCCCGGGCAGAAATCAGAACTGGGCTTTGAACTCCTCCTGTCTATCTGACTCCAAAGCCCATGCACTTTCTTAAGATCCAGCTTTGTCCTATGACTCAGATCTGAAGGGTGGGAGGGGAGGTGGTGAGATAGGATTGGAATCAGCTGACACCAGAGTGACTGCATCTTTTCCCAACTCCGAGTTCAGTGATGTCACGCCAGTAGCTTGAAATCAGCCATGGTGGGAGTAGTTACCCTAAAGAAATTGGTAAAAACTACAAATCAGGATTTTATTTGTTTGGTTGTTTTTTTTCCCCCTCTGGAGAGCTAGTTGTTAAACATGTACCAGCACACCACTGGCTGGATAAGAACTAAGAAACCAGGTTATGGGGTTCCTAAAGGCAGGGAGAAGACCTGTGCTGAAAGCACTGGCAAAAGGGATCCCGTGAGGGCAGTGACGCCATACCAGTGGGTTTTAGGGAGAAGGCTCTGCACTAGGGTGCAGCCCACATTGACAGCGGGGAAGAGGGTCAGGCCCCAGAGGCCATGTAGGAGGGTCTGAATACTGGGTTTGGTTTGGGGAGGGGATGCTGGGTCAGAGAGACACCCTGGAGGATCATGGCTTAGAGCAGGTGGCAGGCGGCCTTCTGAGAGAAAGAGAGGAGTGTCTGTGAGCTCCGTTGAGAGCTCAGACCTTGCCTTGTTCATGCTGCATCCCTGATGCCTAAAACCATGCATGGTACAAAGTAGGCTCTTGAAGAGTTTTTAGAATAATTGAATCAATGATTAAATAGATGAGTGATTCTGATGAAGCTGAGATGACTGGGAGAAACATACGTATCTACTAGGTTTACTAGGTCAGACTGGCCAGCCTCTGAATCGGTACAGTGAGCAGTGTGCTGTCTTTGCTTCTGTGTAATTCTGGATGAAACAAATGTCTAAAGGTTCCCACATAAGTTGCTGCAGGGCCAGAATTCATCCAAGTGCTCAGCAGAGAGGCAGAGGGCTTGGCTGAAATAGCCTTGGACTTGGAATCTGAATGCTTGAGTCAGAGACCTGGCCCTCTCCTGGGCTGGGCACGTATGTGACTTGGGAGCAAGTCCCTCCCCTTCGCTGGGCTTCCTTCTTCTCAGTTGTAAAATGGAGAGGTGCCCCAGAAGCCAATCAGGGTTGAAGTTATGCAGATTCCTTCCCCAGGAAGGCTCTGCTCCACGAGGGCGCCTGGCGTCCATCACTGTCCCAGCCAACTGCAAGGAGGGAGGAGCGGGCAGGTGGTGGAAGCCTTTGCCTTGGACCAGTCCCAAAGGCTCCATCATCCCTCCTTGGTTGTTTTTAGTACTGAATTGCCTCTGGTTTTAAAACTGCTTTCCTCAAAGCCACATTTAGTGGGTAATCAATATGGAAAACCACAAGTGAACTGCACTCAAAAAGTCCAATCCTTGTGGTACCCCCTTGAAAGGAAAAAAACATTCAATAAGCACTTACCAGAGCACCCATTAATAGCAATATCCTCAGAACAACCTAGTGAGGTAAGTTTTATTATCCCCACTTTACAGAGGAGGAAGTAATAACACTTGTTATTTATTTAAAGCATACACTGCATGCTAGTCGCTAGTCTAACCACTTGCCATGGGATAGCACAGTTATTTCTCCCAGCAATCCTGCAAGATAGGGACTATCATTAACTCTATTTTAGAAATTAGAAAACAGAGGCTTTGAGAGCCTGTTGTTTTTGCCTCAAATGACAGAGCCTGTGTCAGAGACTTGATGTGAACCCAGATCTGATGATTCCAGAGCGTAACCCCTAAATGCTATGCTGTCTCATTCATTCATTCAGCCAGTCCGCTGTTAAGTATTTAGCAAAGGCAGACTACGGGCAAGGTTTGTGAAAGATCCTGAGATACAAGGTGAGTGAAACCTGGACATGGTTCCCGCCTTTATGTCTGGTGGGGAAGCAGGTATTAAGGAAATTAGTCATTAGTGAATTTAAATTTGTAAGTGTAGCATGTGATGCGGAGCCTATGAGAACCTATAACAGGGGATCTGACCTGGTCAGGAAGTGAGGGAAGACTTCCCTAGGAAAGTTGATTGAGCTCAGATCAGAAAAATGAGTTGGTATTAGCTAGGTGAAACGGCAGGGAAGAGTGTTCTAGTCAGAGGAAGCAGCATGTGCAAAGGCCCTGTGGAGGGAGGGAGGTAGCAAATCTAAGGGACTGCAAGGTCTGTGTGGCTGGGAGGACAGTGCAGGGATAGAGTTTGAGAAGTGAGCTGTGGCCAACCGCACAGAGCCTTGAACTTTATTCAAAGAGCCATGTAGAGTCGTGAAGTTTTAAGTAGGGGGGGTGGTGACATGATCAGATGTGCATTTTGCAAAGAGTAGCTAGGTGAAGGGGCAACATGGAGAATGAATTAGAGGAGGCAAGAATGGATGAGAAGAGACCCGGTAGGGGCTAATGGTAATACGGGGTTGGCTGGTGGGGATGGAAGTGGAGAAAAATGAGAGGACTTGAGAAATAAATAAGGACTACAACTGGCAGGGCTCAGGGTGGATCAGTTTGGATGCAGGGGGTGTGATGTACTTCTTGACACCAAATCTGTGTGGGCTTTTTCCCATACCAACAACCAGTTCTCCATTTCACCAGCACCAGCTGGCTGTCCCACAATTCAATTCAGTTCTGACACTAACTACCCACTGGGAGCCAGTGTCAGACTCCATGGTTTAAGGGATCAGTCTCACAAGTCGGCCCTCACTTCAGACCCAGTCGCAAGGCCCAGGCCACCTGCACTGCTGACTGACTCAGCTACAAATGCAGGGGTTCCTATGACCACCCCCCTCAGGTTCAATAATTTGTTAGAATGGCATGCAGAATTCAGGAAAGCACTTTACTTAACTATTACTGGTTCGTTTTAAAAGATACAACTCAGGAACATCCAAATGGAAGAGATGCACAGGGCAAAGGAAGCGGGGGTGGGAGCGTGGGCAGGGCTTCCATGCCCTCTCCGGGCCACTCTCTCCACACCTAGATGTGTTCACCAACCTACCAGTCCTTAGGGGTCTTATGGAGGTCTCATTATGTAGGTGTGATTAAGTCATTGGTGAGTGAACTCAGTCTCCAGCCCTTCTCCCCTCCCTGGAGGTGAGGGGGGCACTGAAAGTTCCAACCCTCTAATCACAGCTTAGTCTCCCTGGCCACCAGCCCCCATCCTGAAGCTATTCGGCACAGCCCCACCCCCCAGGTCATGCGAGAGGGCTTTAGGAGCTCTGTACGGAGAACCTGGAACAAAGGGCAAATGTAGATTTATCATACCACAGGGGATGAGGGAGAAGTCAACGTGGACTTCACGGCCAACATCCCCCCTTGGGCTCAGCCTGGCCCCGAGGTCCCTGGATGGGGCCCCACGTGTCCTCCTTTTCCCCTCTTCTTCCTCTAGGAGATTGTGACTGCTTTGAACTGTGGCAAGAACATCGTGCCCATCATTGATGGATTCCAGTGGCCAGAGCCCCAGGCCCTGCCCGAGGACATGCAGGCTGTGCTCACCTTCAATGGCATCAAGTGAGGAGGGGGCGGGGCGGGTGACACAGGCCCCCAGCCAGCAGCTCCCTCTGCCCAGCCCTCTGACCCACCAGCCTCTGCACCCACAGGTGGTCCCACGAGTACCAGGAGGCCACCATCGAGAAGATCATCCGCTTCCTGCAGGGCCGCGCCTCCCGGGACTCATCTGTGGGCTCTGACACCAGTTTGGAGGGTGCTGCACCCCTGGGCCCCGCTTAACCAGTCCCTAATTCCCAAGCCCTGCCGTGACCCCCCATTTCCATCATCCCCCCAATGGACCAGCTCCTCAATCCGGCTTCCCTGGGCTGAGACAGCCTGGGCTCTTCTCAGGAAATGGCTCTCTGCCTCCCCCGACCCTCACCGTCCACCTCACACCCGGCTTCCTCAGTATCTGGAAAGGGAAGGGAAGCCAGGCATTGGGGGTGCTAAGACCTCCCCTAGCCCCTGCCCCCAGGTCCTGTCTCGGGCGTGGGAGGGTCACTGCTCAGCTCTGGAGACTGGAGAATGAGGGTGTGCTGCATGCTAACCCCTCTCCTGCCCTGCCAGCAGCCAACCTGAGTAGAGTGAAGGCACGCAGCCTCGGGCAGGGCTCAGTGCAATGGCCAACCCTCCCCACCAAGCAAGGGCTTGGGCCCGGGAGCCAGCTGGGGATGAGAGGCTAGCCATGGCTCTCCGCCGAGACTGCGCCTGGCCCCGGGGCTCACCGGTTCCTGCCATCCTGTGGCCTTGCGCTGTAACCACTCAGTGCCCTTAGCTGGCCTGGTCTGGTCCCAGGTCCACTGCCAGCCTTCCTGATGTGCATCCTCCTTTGCCGCATCTGGGCTCAGGGTGAGACTGAGCCGGCCCTCGCTCTGGCTGGTCTGCAGCCGTGGCCTGCGCTCACCGGTGCACGGGAGCCCCCTGCTTGAGGCTGAGCAGGGGACGCTGCCCCTCGAAGAGCAGTTAGCCACCCTACCTGGCCTTGGTGCTGTGCGCCACGCCTCTGCCCAGCGTGGCCCAGCTCCCTTCCTCAGCCCCTCACCCGTCCAAGGCTGCCCCCGCACTGGCTCAGGGGGAGCTGGGGCGAGGCAGCCCCCCTGTGGCAGCAGCAGTAGCCTGGGCAGAACCTGTAGCTCCCTGGGAAGAGGCAAGATCCTGAAGAAGGGCATGGGGTGCATTCGAATCACCTGGGAATTTTGTTAAAATCCCATTCAGGACACCTGGGGTGGGGCCCGAGTTCCTGCATTTCTCACAAACTCCCACCTGGGCTGAAGCTGGTGATCAGGGAATGATACCTTAGGAAGCAAGACTGAAACACAAATGCCTCACAAATGTTTGCCATTTCCCTGACACTTCACTCCATGGTCTCTAATCATCAGAGCAGCCTTACCTGGTATTATCTCCATCTTACAGAGAAGGAATTGAATGTCGTGCCCAGTTTCCCAAGTCACCAGTGGCAGCCCCAGGATGCAGACCTGGCCTCCTGGCGCTCAGTCTACCGCCGGGGGGGACTGAAAATCATCCTGGAGGCTGCACCCTGGGCAGGGCTGTTGCTCCACAGATGGCTGGCTTCCCTCTTGCCCCAAAGAATCTAGCCGTGGGGGGACAGGCTTTCACAACAGAAGGCTGACTCAGGGGCTGTAAAGAAATAACCGAGCAGGAGTGTCCCTCGGCCCCTTCCTCCACCAGGGTAGGAGAGCAAGAAAGCATCCTCCTTCCAGTAAATGCAGGCTCCAGCTAATGGGCTCAGCGGGCACCTGCCCTGCCCCTCCCCTCCCCTCCTGAGGGCAGTGGGTTCACACCTGAAGGCTGGCTCAGCTCCCAGAGCCACCTCCTGCAGGTGCTGGCCAGGGCCCTCGGAGCTCTTGGGCCACATCGTCAGAAAGTCAAAGGTCTCGCTCCAGGCTTGGAACTCCTTCCTTCCACTCGCCTCCCTGTCAAAGATACTGCCTCTAGCCGGTCCTCTGACTGCACTTGACCCTTTTCCTTCTTGCCACATGAATGCCCACCGGTGCCCTGGATACGACGGTGACTGAGGCAGACTGGATGTTGCCTTCAAGAGCAGAGACAATAACAATACAGTGTGATGAGTCTCCTCCAGGGGAAGCCTTCTGTCTTTTTGTCCCCAATCAGTCCCACTCCCTCCTGAGGTCCCTCATGGGCAGTACTCAGAGAGGTTGCCCAGCACTGTTTGTTTTTCTGTTTGGCACACTCTCTACTGCTGCCTCCCTCCTGTCTCTCTGAGGAATCACAGCCCAGCCTCCGGGCCCCACCGGAGCAGCTGAAGTGACGAGCCTCCCCTGGCCAGGCCAGTGTGTTCAGGGGCCAGCCTCCCCGGCCGTAACAAACACTGCCCAGATCGCAGCCAGGGCAGGCACCCTGGCCCGCACCTTCCACCTAGGCGTGGTCTCACAGGGCCGGTCCTGAGACAAAGAGCTGAGAAACAGCCTTTCACCACCCGCCCCCCAGCCTGCTCTGACATTGCAGCCTGGTCTGCGGGGTCAGGGTTTTCTGCTTGGCTGGGCTGTAGCTGCTGCTCCCAGGTCGGGGCTGAGTCAGCCTCACCCCACCCCTCTCCAAGACCAAGAATTGCTCATGACCGACCAAGAAACACTCAAAAGTCAAAAGTCCAGCTCCAACTCATTTATCCTTCCCCTAGGTCCATGAATAGAGGCATTCATTCCATTCTAGAATGTATGAGACAGGAAGGATCTTAAAACAGTATTTAATCTAGTGTTTCCTAACTTGTCCAACCATGATCAGACAATTAGAGGCATTGCTGATCTAACCCTTCATAGAGGGCCTTGCTCAAGGCCACACACGAACCAGAGGCAATGCCCGGAGTAGAGCCTGGGCCTGAGGCCAGCCCAGAGCCTTTTTCCTACCACCCTCACTGCTGGGACAGTCAGTGGAGGGGGCCTCTCCTTGCTTGATCTCCCAATGACAGGGGACAGTGAGATGGTAATCTGGAAACAGGCCCAGGCTACAGAGGGCCACAGCTGACCCTAGTTTTCCCTGGGCCACGTTTTACCTGCGTGATTTCTAGCCAGAAAACTGGCTAGCAGGGCAGGTGAGAGAGAATGAGGGTAGAAATACCAGCAGGGGGCCATGCCCTGTGGCCAATTCTGTTTTGAAGAGTCAAGTGTCATCTGATTTGTTTGGGGGCCTATGGCCCTCATCAAAGCCAGTGCCTTAATACCAAATCCCATTCTGCCTTTCAACTTCAGGTCCAGGCTTTCCTAACGCCCTAGAAATGGGCCCCTCATTCTCTGGGGAGTCGGGCCCATCTCCAGGTTCCTGTTGAGCTACAGATGCTCGAGGGATGGTGTCAGCACATGGCCCTGCTGAAATGCCCAGCAATGGGAGGTGTTAGAGGGCTGAGTGGTAACAAAAACTGATTCTGCTTGGTTTGGTGTAGCCAGGAAGACCAGAGCAAGGTGTCTTCAGGGAGTAGATCTCTGACCCTGAGAAATGAGCGGCCAGGGCTCTGCCCGGAGCTTCTCTGCTGACCTGATGCAAGCGTGGCAGCCCTTCGCCTCCCAGCAGCTCCGGAGAAGAGAATGGGCAGTCAGATGAGGACTGAGCTGGCCACGCCCAGTACCAATCCCATGGCAACTCAGAGGCCCCTGTCCCTTCCAGCAGCCACTGCTGTCTGACCTACAGTGGGCAAACTAGGAACAGGAAAACAGAAGGCCCCACAGCCCAATGCCTTGGGGGCCGGAAGGTTCATTCCAGGGTGATTATACAAACTTATTATGATTGGCACTGCTAAGCCCAGGGGATTGATTCCCACGCAGACATAGCAGCACTCTCCCTCCAGGTGGCACCAAGTCCCTCCCACAACCCTCCCTTCCCCCAGAGCTGGCACTGACCAGTGGTACCATATTCATCACTAAGGAGTGACTGGTAGCTGCTTGGCCGTGAACTGAGCACGGTGAGCTGCACAGTTTGGGTTGGAAGCAGAGGTGCTGCCCTCATGCTTCAACTGGTCCCTCCATCAGGACCTCTCCTCTCCCCTGGAGGGTTCTATGTGATTGATGGACTAAAGGGTTTAACAGATCCCTGTTCCAAATGGCTCCCACACCACCTGCCCTGAGTGGGACTGTCTGGGTTACAATTCCAGATCCTAGAATCACAGGCAGGCACGGCGTGGATGAGGTGGGGGCCTTGGTCTAGCTTGACCACCTGGTCCAAGGTGAACACTGCCCTTTGAGGGGAGCTGCCGCTGCTGCTGAGGACTGGGACCCAGAGGCATATACTTCCAGCTGGTTGGCGTTCACGTTGCTCCTCTCGCCCCCTGCCCTCTGGTCCAGGCAGATCAGGGGCTCTGGGAAAACTGCTGGAATTCAGGGCAATGATTAGCCCTTTCCAGTATCCTGTGAGAGACCAGAGAGAGAGAGTTCAGATTTAACACGGGGGGACCCTCAACTCCTGGAGAAGTGACACAGGCTTTATCGGATGGGCTGGTCCAGGTATCCCCCTCCCCAAGCTGAGAGGTGGAAGACAATGTCCAGAGACAGAGGGCTCTGGGGGAAGAAACAAGTGGGTCAGGTTAGCGTGTGGCCTGGTCACAACTAGCCAAGGAAGCTCTCCAGGCTTCCCTTTAGGACATTTCTGCCACCGTAGTTCCATCTGTAAAATGGGAATGGAGGGGGATGAGGGGAACTGGGTGCGAGAACATAGCCTTGCGAAGAAGCACTGTGAGCCTGACCCTTCCCCTACCGCCTCTGCCTTGCTACCGGGGAATCGCTCCCAGACGATTAGGCAACCATCTGCAAGGGGAGAGGCAGGCTGGGACTTCCCGCAGGGGAAGAGCTCCAGGACTGAGGAGGTTGGAAGGAGGAGGAAGCAGAGGATAACTTTAGGGTGAAGGGGTCCATTTTGAGCCTGGGTCAGGGCCCTGCATTACCCAATCAGGACGGCCGGGATGAAGAGGAGGCCAGCTCCCAGAAGGAAAGGGAAGCCCTTCATGAAGTTCAGGGTGGCTGGGTAGAGCGAGTTGAAGATGCCGGAGGCTGTCAGCATAGCCAAGCCATTCACACAGGCCACAGCAGAAAAGAGAGCGCCTGTGAAGAAATAAATAGCACACTCAGGAATTTGAAAGACCTAAATGCAAACCCTGACACCACTACCTCGCAGCTGTGTGACCTGGAGCGAGTCACTTAACCTCTCTGAGTGTCACCTTCCTCAGCTATGACTCCTACATCATGTGTTGTGATAAGGCTTCGATGAGGTCATGCATGGAAAGCACCTGTGCTACAAAACAAATGGCTGTTATTAAATCTCTATATTACAAGTACATGTGATATCTCCTAGCAAAAGTCTGATAAAGTCTGATAAAATGGTTTTAGGTTTATCCCCTTTGGAATCATCTCCTGTTTAGGATAAATTTCTGGGCTATTTCTCAGTTTCAACACTTGTCAGCTGTGTGATCCCCGAATAAGACACTTATCTTTCTGGGCTTCTGTCCCCCTTCTGTTAAATAAGGATAATACCTTTCATAGATTGTTGGTAACACTATAATCGCATGTAATGCACCTATCACAGGGCCTGGCCCCCTGAAGGCAGTCAGTTAGTAAGAGCTGTTCTTTTCTCCTGTTCCCCTTGGCATCTCTGGGCACAGTGAAGGTGTTAGAAAAATGCTTATTGAGTGAATGAATGAAGGCACATGGGTTCTGAGGATAACAGAACCCATGGTGGGCTATACATGGCACCAGAGTCTCTGCCATCACCAGATCCTACTTCCAGGGCAGATGGGAAAAAGTGGATGAGCTACATGTTTCCGGATTGGGATCTAAAGACCAAGAGGCCTGATAAGCTATTCTTTATAGATATGACAGCATGGAACTTCCCTGCTGTCACAGTGGTTAAGAATCCACCTGCCAATGCAGGAGACACAGGTTCGAACCCTGGTCCGGAATATCCCACATGCCACAAGGCAACTAAGCCCACGAGCCACAACTACTGAAGCCCACTCGCCTAGAGCCCGTGCTCCGCAACAAGAGAAGCCACTGCAATGAGAAGCCCACGCACGGCAACGAAGAGTAGCCCTCGCTCACCACAACTAGAGAAAAGCCTGCGCGCAGCAAGGAAGACCCAACGCAGCCAAAAATTTTAAAATAAATAGAATCGATATGCCAGCAGAACACAAATTTTGCAAAATAATCAACAGCCCAACGGAAGTTGAGATTAAACTATCAGACTGTCAGAGCTCGAAGGGCCTACAGACGTCATCAAGAGCTATTCACGGGACTTCCCTGGTGGCGCAGTGGTTAAGAATCCACCTGCCAATGCAGGGGACACGGGTTCAAGCCCTGGTCCGGGAAGATCCCACATGCCGCGGAGCAACTAAGCCTGCGCACCACAACTACTGAGCCTGCACTCAAGAGCCTGCGAGCCACAACTACTGAGCCCTCGTGCCACAACTACTGAAGGCTGTGCACCTAGAGTCTGTGCTCCGTAACAAGAGAAGCCACCGCAATGAGAAGCCTGAACACCGCAACGAAGAGTAGCCCCCACTCGCCACAACTAGAGAAAGCCCACGTGCAGCAACGAATATCCAATGCAGCCAAAAATAAATTGATTAATTAATTAAATTAAAAAAACTATAAAAGAACCCCTCCCCGCCCCACACACAAAAAAAGAGCAATTCACATGTGTTACAGATGAGGAAACAGGCCCAGATCACAGAGCCGCTGTGACAGAGCCAGGACTAAAATCCAGATTCCCAGACCTGCTGCTCTTAGAAAGAGACCTGGGTGTGCATCCTAGTTCCACCACTTACTGAGTGACCTCAGGTGAATCAATTTAACCCTCTGGGCCTCTGCTTCATCTGCCATGTGGAGACAGTGAAACCTACATCACAAAGTTGGACACTCTGACCCCAGGGAAGCAGGGAACTCTGGCATCGTCACATCCATTTTACAGATGGAAAAGGTGAAGTCTGGAAACAGTAAATCCTCTGCTTGGCTTATGCAAAAGAACATAATCGTATGCTGCTGACTGCAAATTCCAACGCTGTGGTCTGAAAATCCAAATCGCTGTGGTTCTCTGCCAGCCCTGGGCACTGTGACAGCAACGCAGTTGTCTTGGCTACTTATTTCTCCAGGGTGGGAGGGAGGAAGGTAAGCTGCCTCCTGGTCCGTGGCTACCCTCTGCGCAGTTCAGGAAACACTGGGCATGAGGAGCCAGACACAGGCTCACACCCTGATACTCACCCTGCTCTGACTCTCTCACCAGCCTGGAGAGTTTGGCCCGGATGACAGGCGTGACGACCAACGACAGGAAGAGGAGCCCGTACCCTGTGAGGAAAGAAACAATCATCAAGGAAATGGGCTTGGGGAGAGGGGTGCCCAAGTGAGATGTAGCAGAGGTCCTGTACCTACCCCATGAGGGACTCGGATTGGACACAGGAAGAACATCCCTGATGGGGAAGGAGACAATGATGGGGCACAGCAAGCACACAGTAAATGCAAGTTCCTTTTCCCTTGACATTTAGTTACTCACAGGCTTACACTGTTTCCTTCGTAACCATTTCTCTCCCTTGTGCAACTGTTACCTCCTCAACAAAAACTGCAAACTGCTAAAAAACAGTGGTGCCTGTGAAGTGCATTCACGATGAGGCCCCCCAGGGCCCCTTCAGGGGAAAGGCCCCCAAATCCCAGAGCAATGACAGTGTCTTCATCATCTCTGCACCCCCGAAGGCGTTGAGCCCAGCACCGAGGCCATGGATGATGCTGTGGGCAGGAGAAAAAGGTACCTGGTCCCCGTCAGCACTGTCCAGGCGAGCGGCCACATTAGGAAATCTGTGATTACAGAATGGCTGACTGTACACATTTTAGGGCTCTATTAAAATAAATCTGTCCATTCAGGAAAGTTAACTTCCTCATTCGCAGCTGCCCCCTCCCACCAAAAAAAAAAAAAAGAAAGAAAGAAAGAAAAGAAGAACTAACAGAAGCAGGAATTTGATAGCTGCAGTCTGAGAAGACTGGCTTTTTTAAAAACCCAAAGAAGCTGACCAAGGATATTTGAGATAGGTCCTGTGATTCTTATCAGAGAAGTGAGTATTAAGGCATTAATGGCTTGGACTTTGCTTAAGAGCACCAGGAATATAGGCTGTGGGAGGCCAAGGAGTGGAGCAATTAGTGTAAGAGCAATATTTTTGTCTTTGGCTCTATCTTACTAACAATATTTATGGTTGGTAATGTAAATGAATTACTTTGGCTATTGAAGGTCTATATTTTCTGTATAACAAAGATGGCATTTTTATGAGGTTTCTTAGTTGTCTGTCCTCCAGTGCAGGCTAGGGGCACAGTGATGTTTCCAAAGACATGGGCATGAACTACATTTGGCGGCAGCAGGTGGCCAGTCCCCAGTTTTCACCCAGCAATTCTGCGACAAACTGTCCCTGAACCCATACACACTTTACCTGTGAACATGAGGGGTGTAATGGTAGCAAATGCAAAGACCACCATCCCCATGATGTTGAAGGCCAGACCGATCTCAGCCACCCAGGTGTCGGCCAGGCAGTACTGCAGAAGCCTCAGGCCCAGCAGGCTGGTGAGGTATGGGAGGTGCTGAGCCGCAGAACCGTAGCCAATCAGCCTAGAGTCCCAGCAGAGGGGTGTGCTAAGCTCATAGAGGGTCAGGATGTCCTGGGCCCCAAGGTGCACAGTGATCACCACGAAGATGGCCAATGAGTACAGGGCTAAGTGCTTCCTGGACTTCTCTGGGGCCTGGGTCACATAGAGCTGGACGATGGATCGGTGGTGACGGAGTGTGAAGAGCCGGGCGGGTGTCGCCTCTTTCACTGTCTCACCAAAGCAGAATGCTGCATAGAGAGTCATGGCAATCAGCAAGGCCAAGGCCAACCAGAAGGGGTTGGCATAACCCTGCTCCTGGAGCCAGTTGCCACCAATGAGACTCGCCAGCATCCCTGCCACCCCGATGCACGCTTCCAGCAGGGCCATTCGGATGGTACGGGTGCGGCTGGAGCTGACATCTGCCACGGAGGCAAAGCCAGCAGCCAGGAGGCCACTGAAATCGCCGAGGAGGGCACAAAGGATGCGGCCCAGCACGAAGTAGCCAACGTGGAGCTGCAGCTGTACCACAAAGATGGACAGCACGGTCTGGAGCAGCAGGCCGAGGGAGGCCAGCACCAGCAGCGGGCGGCGGCCCACACAGTCACTCCAGGCACCCAGCAGGGTGGACGAGAAGAGTCCCACCAGGAAGCCGCCCATGTTCATGTAGAGGGTCCAGTGGGAGGTAAGCGTCTCCACTTTCTGCGGAGGCAAGAGTCTTATTACCAGGGTGCCGTTCCTCACTCTGGGCTGCCCATCGCCCACCCCATCACCAACCTGGGAGATACAGGGATGAGGACTTTCTTTGGAGCCCTAAACCTCAGAGAATTTTAGTACAACTCTTAAAAACTGACACTGGAGGGGTATGGGAAATGGGCAAGATCCGTTCTCTTACTTTTAGCACTGTGAATGAAAACTGTTGCCTGCCGCATCGGCAAACAAAGGATGCTGCGGCCATCAAGCCCTCAGCCACTACTGCCGCCCCTGATGCTGAGCCCTGATGTAACTCAGGATGGAGACAAACAGGCTGCCGACAGCCAAGCCCTCAGCCACTGCAGCCAGCCCCAAGTACAGACCCAGGATGGGACAGAACAGGATACTGGCTCTAGAGAGCTAAGGTGCATATCAGAGGAGTGATTTCAATAAGCCCAGGCTCCTGCATCTTCCCTTACTTAGAAAAGAGCTAAATTCATTGACTTGTGGGAATTCCCTGGTGGTCCAATTTTTAGGACTTGGTGCTTTCACTGCTGGGGCTGGGTTCAATCCCTGGTTAAAAAAACTAAGAGCCCACAAGCCAGGTGGTGCAGCCAAAAAAAAAAAAAAAAAGTCCAGTAACTTGAGATGTCTGGTTTTCCTCAATTAACAGTAATCTTTTGATGTTCCAACTACCTGGTTTTTATTGCAAAACTCCTATATATCCTGGCGCCTCCCTTACTTCTTGGGAACAGTCCCTCAGAGCTATCTCAGAGACTGCCTCCTGGGCCTGAGTCCTCAGAAAGTCTGCCAAATAAAACATAATTCTCAACTTTCAGTTTGTGCTTTTTTTTTTTTTTTAATTTATTTTTGGTTGTGTTGGGTCTTCGTTGCACGGCGCAGTCTTCTCACTGTGGTGGCTTCTCTTGTTGCGGAGCACGGGCTCTAGGTGCGCGGGCTTTAGTAGTTGTGGCACGTGGGCTCAGTAGTTGTGGCTCGCAGTTTTCGCGGGCTCTAGAGCGCAGGCTCAGTAGTTGTGGCGCACGGGCTTAGCTGCTCCGCGGCATGTGGGATCTTTCCGGGCCAGGGCTCGAACCCGTGTCCCCTGCATTGGCAGGCAGATTCCCAACCACTGCGCCACCAGGGAAGTCCCTCAGTTTATGCATTTTTTTTCAGTGGACACCCTCTTTTGTTAACCCTCAAACTCGCTTTACCTAGATCAACTTGAAGCATCCCCACAACGCATTTCTCAGTCAAGCCCCAACTTTGCTCCGGCCCCGCCCACCACCTAATATCCTAACCCACTGGGCTGCCCCCAACCTTTACGCAGGCCCCGCCCACTCCGCTGCCCCCAGGGCCCGCCCCTGGCACGCTCCTCGCTTCTCCCCGCCGCCCCTACCTGCGCGGTGGGGTCCACGCTATGGTTGGTGCAGCTGCCCCTGTCACGAGTGCCGTTGTAGCCAAGGTCGGCACTGAAGCGGTGCCACAGGTACTGCGTGGTGACCGGGCCCTGCAGCACCAAGGCGAAGTTGGCAAGGAAGATGAGAGGCTCCACGCAGCCGCGGCACAGCACGGGCCCGGCGGGCCAGGCGCGGGGCTCGCCCCGGGAGTTCGCGCGTCCCTCCATGCTGAGCTGCCACTAGGCTTCCAGTTCGGCTTTCTGCGCCTGCGCCCAGCGTCTTTTTTTTTTCTTTTCTTTTTTTAAGCCTGGTGGGGCGGGGCCAGGAGTGGTGGGCCCCCTTCCTCTCGGCCCCTCCCTCTCTGGGCTGGGGGGGGGAGGCGAGGGACCCCGTACCCCTGGTTTACAGAGTGACCTCAACTGCAGACCGTGCCAGGCTACAGCCCTGCCCTCCTCAGGGGCAGAACACCCATAACAGTAACAAGAATATCAATAATTAACGTTCATTGATCGCTTATTATGTGCTGGGCACGGTACTAAACTCTAAGTGCATTAATGTCCCAACAACTCTATTGGCTATAGATGTTATCAAGGATCTCAATTGACTCATGAAGAAGCAAGGACATCGGACACTCAAGGCTGAGCTAGAAGAACACACTTTTTTTAATTAAAAAAAATTTTTTTTGTTGTTTATTTTCGGCTGCGTTGGGTCTTCGTTGCTGCACGAGGGCTTTCTCTAGTTGTGGAGAGCGGGGGCTTCTCTTGTTGCGGTGCACGGGCCCTAAGCGCGGGGGCTTCAGTAGTTGTGGCACTTGGGCTCTAAAGCGCAGGCTCAGTAGTTGTGGCACACAGACCTAGCTGCTCTGCAGCATGTGGGATCTTCCTGGACCAGGGATTGAACCCGTAGTCCCCTTCACTGGCAAGCAGACTCTTATCCACTGCGCCACCAGGGAAGCCCAAGAACACATGACTTCCGATGTCTATGCTGATGTTCTGCGCTGTGACAGGGGCGACTCAGTGGATAAGAGTGCAGCCTCCAGCTCTACTGCCTCAGTTCCATCACCTACACCCCGCTACTATCTCGGACATGCCACTTAGCTCTTTGTGCCTCCACTTCTTCACCTTTAAAATGGTGGTACTAATAGAACCTGCCTCAAAGAGTTGCTGTGGAAGAACAGTGTCTGATACATTGTAAGTGCTATTGTTGTTATAAATAGGCTGTCACTTGCTCCCCTCCTGCCGTAGGATCTTTCCCTGGGAAGCTTATCTTGTTTCTGGGGCTGGGGCCTGGCTTTGCAGTGCCCTTGGAGGAGCAGAGGAGGAGGAGAAGAAGGTGGAGGACCTGGGAGGCCCTTAGGTGTGGGCTTGTGCTCCCTGGTCCTCCTACTATAAAAATAGGGGCATAAAGCAGTTGGATCTCCTGTCTGGGCCAGTTTTATTGCCTGTAAAAGGGAATGGTATTACTTGGCTTTCTCCCTTATCAGTGCATTTGTTGAATGCTCCTTGTATGTCAGGGACAATGCCTAGGGGAGGCTCTGGAAATCAGCCATTAGCCGCTGAGGTCCCCCACCATCCATCTACCCACAGTACACCTGAGGGAAATTCTGTGCTTTGGACACCGCCCCTAGGTAGTTAAGAGACACATCTAAAGAAAAAATTCAATGACCCCAGATTCCCGTGTCTTCCCAAACATAGAAAAGTACTCAATCATTAACTTAAGACGCCTGTTCTTTGTGGTTAGCAGTAATCTTGTTATGTTCGACTAGGTGTTCTTCTTTCCATCGGGTGGGCGACTGCAGTGGCTAACGGCTTGATCCTTGTAGAACTGGAATGACAGGCAACATTTTTTTTCTTTACACTGTTGTGTTTCCAGAGCCCCTCCCACCCTCCCAGCATGGTCCCAGACATACAAAAAAAATTTATATATATATCCCGGCTCCTCCGTTACCTCTTCGGAACAGTTTCTCAGAGCTCAGTGAGAAACTGAATAAACTCAACTCACAGCTCTTATGTTGTGCATTTTTTTCAAGTCGACTGCAGTGAGGAAACAAAGCCCTCAACCAGGCCCTGAAGTTTCTAGAATGGTCGGGGAGAGACATCAAAGAATCCTATTAGGGCTTCCCTTGTGGCGCAGTGGTTGAGGGTCCGCCTGCCGATGGAGGGGACACGGGTTCGTGCCCCTGTCCGGGAGGATCCCACATGCCACGGAGAGGCTGGGCCCGTGAACCATGGCCACTGAGCCTGTGTGTCCGGAGCCTGTGCTCCGCAATGGGAGAGGCCACAGTGAGAGGCCCGTGTACAGCAAAAAAAAAAAAAAAAAGAATCCTACTAAGATTTCAACTGCGGAAAGACATTTAAAGGAGAAGAGCGTGGGACTCTGAGGGTACTAATTCAGAAGCCTGGCCTGGTCTGGAAAGAGCGGAGCCAGGAGAGGCTGCCTTCCCTGACAAGGGGGCAGCTGAGTGGATTTCTGGAGGCAAGCCTTGTGCCATGACCCACAGGCCTGATTCTTGGGGTGGTGAGAGCTCCGTTTCTGGCCATCATTGCTGTGCATGGGCTTGTTGCTGGCTTATTGACTCTCCCCCCTCCCCTGAGCCAAAAGGAGTCCGAGCCTCAAACTAGGTAGATGCTGGCTAGATACCAGTGGACTGAAGGATGCCCAAGCTCCCCACAGCCATCACCACCCTGTGGTCTTCCTAGAGACAGGAAATTGCACATTAAACATACAAGCCCCTGGGTTGGCTCCCTCCCCTCCCTCCCCCTACCTGTAAAAAAGCTTGGCCCAGTTAGGTCAGCTACAGTGAGGAAGGGGTGCCCAGCTGAAATCTTAGAATCATTTCCTAGATAAAGAACTAAGACTGAGAGATGGAAGGCCAAGGTCCATCTCTGGAAATGGGACAGGGTGTGGCTCGTCCCAGAGCTGGAGCTTGCAGTGCCCACGTGGCGAGAAGCCCCTTCTGACCAATAAAATAAGAATATTTGCAAGGCAGGACAAGAACATTTTTAACCATAAAATTCTCTCTCTGCCCATTTGAGCCACTACCCCCTCCCTTTAGTGTGCAATGAGCAGCTGTATGATACATTAACTAGATCCCTTGAGAACACACAGCAATGCCTAGTCACCCCCCCCACCCCCTGAAAAAAAAAAAAAGCAGTTTTCTCCTGGCACAAGCAAGGTAACTCTTTAGGAGACATTTCTTTCTCAATCCTGTAAAGAGGTCAAAATAACCCACTACTCGCCTTCTTGGACTATGGAAACTGTCAATATGTTACTTTGATGTAGAACCTTTTGTCTCAAAAGCTTCTATAACAGGTAGAACAGTCCTCAGAGCTTTCTGAAAGACTGTCTCCCAGGTTACAATCCTCAGACTGGTTTTTTTTTCTTCTTTCTCTTTTTAAAATATTTTCAACTTTTCTAATATAAACATGCATTTTAGTCATGGAAAATATAACATTAAAAAAAATCTGATGTTCTTCTACTTTAAACCTAATCTGGCTCTGTTGCCAGAGATCAACTTCATGTCCCTTGGTATTCTGGTTTATTTTTTTTGGCCATGCCAGGAGGCTTGTGGGATCTTAGTTCCCCGACCAGGGATCGAACCTGGGACCTTAGCAGTGAAAGCATGGAGTCCTAACCACTGGACTGCCAGGGAATTCTGCCCCTTGGTATTCTGGAGACATCAAAAGAAGCTGACTCGGGCTTCCCTGGTGGCGCAGTGGTTGAGAGTCTGCCTGCCGATGTGGGGGACACGGGTTCGTGCCCCGGTCCGGAAGGATCCCACATGCCGCGGAGCGGCTGGGCCTGTGAGCCATGACTGCTGAGCCTGCACATCCAGAGCCTGTGCTCCGCAACGGGAGAGGCCACAGCAGTGAGAGGCCCGTGTACCGCAAAAAAAAAAAAAGGAGCTGACTTTCCTTGAACCAGGCACTGTGTGGGGGCATTACATATTATCTTATTCAACCCTCACCACAACTTTATGAGGTAGGTACTATTATTTTCACAGATGTCATATCTGTGGCTTAGAGAGATGCAGGGAAAATTCCTCCCCACCCTGGGTATAGGTTTCCTTCTCCCTATACCCACTCCAGTGTTTTCTGGATCCCAAGCCTTAGTATATGTTAGTCCTTTTGCCAGGAATACCCTTCCCGCCTTGCTTGGCCTAGTCAACTCCTATTCATCCTTCAAGACCCATCTCTGGACCGTACTTCCAGGCAGAATTAATCATTGCTTAGTATGTGCTTCCACAGGACTGTATTCAGACATCTAATCCTGGTTTTAGACTTCACCTGGTTATAAGTACGTGTTCACAGGATTTTCTCTTCCCAACCCCTACCCACATCCTGCCTCCAGACTTGAGGGCAGAGACATTGTTTTATTCATCTCTGCATCTCCTAGCGATGGGCCTGGCATGCCATAAAATGAAATGTTAAATCGATTTGATGGCATGCACCAACCTCAGTCAATTGATTGCAGCTGCCTGGATTGCAACATTGAGATGGGCTGCTTCTCTGGCTTGGTGGGAAGGAGTCATGTGATCCATTATTTCTGTCTGCCATGGCCTCAGGAATGAAAAGTATCTAATGACAGTGTTGTCTAGCCCTGGGCCATGTGCTCAGTAAGTTTTGTTTAGAAGCTTTGGAGAAGCCCCTGGAAGCTACAATGGTTTCTTCACTCCCAGTTGGTTCATGCCCATAGAGCACTGTCTTACAACCAACCACTGTGAAAGAGATGATTGCAGCAAGGATTCCTCATCCAAATGGCAGTCTTGTCATGACTTCCACCCAAAGCCTCTGCTTCCTTTTCACAAGTGGCCAACCACAGCTTCTGGAGTTTTAGATATTAACAGTTCTTGTTTTTAGATATTACAACGAAGGGAGAAGAGAGCATGAGGGTAAAGACATTTCCTGTTTCGAGTTGTTGCTTCTCACATACCAACTCTGAACTTTGTGTGACTGGGTCCAGGTGCCACGGATGGTGGTTGCTGTTGAATCGAGCTTGAAGATGGGCAGGGATTTTACCAGAAAGAAGTGAGGCTGTCCCAGGTGAGGTGACCAGCTGAGCCTTAGACAGGAAGGCTGTCCAGGATCCAGAGAAGTGCAGGGCTGCAGGCACAGCTCCCCAGCCACTTACCCGACTGGGGAGCTTCCCCAGACCACTTCCTGTCTTGGGACTCCTGCTCTTGGTCTCATTTTAAACACTTTGTCCCTGATAGGACCTTCTCATCTTTCCATCCCTCCATCCGGTTCACTTAGCATCAACTGCTTGCCAAGCTCACTGCCAGGTGCTGGGGTTACATACTAGCATTTACACA